ACCCATGTTAGTGTTAAGCTCTTCTCTCTAAATGACTAGAGTACCAAGTCTCTTCGTTTCTGGAACAAAGTAATAGGGCTAAACAATATGTTTTTAAAATCCTGGGCACAAGCCTGTGACATATCATTACTGACATTAGCCAGAACGTGAATAGAAAATGTTTGAAAGTATGTTTTTATTTCATGTCAAAGATTCAAAACCATTATGTGTTCTCTGATCCAATATGATGGAATGATATTAACATCATTGAGAAGGATTCTCTGTTGTCCTGAAGTCTTATCTGATTGTTATCTATCACCATTGTTTGAAGCTATTAAAGAAATCACACAATACCCCTAGCCCTACCCCTAATATGGAAAACAGGAAGTTGCACACAATTTATTTGGAGTTTGGCTTCTCATGTGCCTGTACACAATGCCATCTTACTCTGTATAATAAGCAAGCTGTATGGAAAGGGAGTGCTCACACATTGGTCCCATTCACATTAAAACGTAAAAAGTGAGACTTGAGTTGCAGTTGAAATATCACCCTTTTTTATTTTTCAAATCTGGAATGAAAATATATAAAATCTATACCTCATTACCTCTCTTCTATTGACATTTACATGTAAACCCAAAGAACACATCAGATATCAACAGGTATTCATAACAATTGCACCATTATTGAAATTTTAATGATTATTAAAAATCAGAATTTGAGGATTAAACGAAAATCAGATTTACTACTTATGATCATGTAAACGAAGCTTCATTTACCAATACTTTAAACATTTAGCTCAAGAGTAAAAAGAAATACATTCATCAAACAAACTGATCGGCTTTCGTTTTGTCATATTATAGAGGTAGGGCCCAAGTATGGTAAGGGTAAGGGAATAATACATGTACAGTACATATGCACAGTGTGAAACTGTACTTGTAAATACAGGGCTCATCACCATTCCAAAAGAATCTTCTCCATTTCAAAAGCTAGGGAGTGTTTTGTTGCTTGCACTCCGGGGTCTGCTTTGGTTCTGGAGTGTGAAGCTGCAAATGATTATTGACATAAATGGATGGTTACTAGTGATGAATGTTTACAGTCTTTAGGGCATGCTTCTCATAGTTTGATTTCACCCCAAGGACATCGATCTTGAAAGGTAGATATTCATAGGATAGACAGAAAGTTAAGGTGAAAGAAAGAAGTCAAGAAAGGGACAGTGTTGGTTTCTGATCCTCCGTAGCTGTCAGGACTCTGCCATTCTCGCGTGATGAAGAGAAAAAGCATTTCATTGGAGGTTGTGAAAGCTTTGTGCTGCAATTATCACATTCTCCTTTAAAGTCAAGTTTAAATTGCTCATACTGAAAAGTAATTCATTGCATGGTACAGAAAGAAAGTCCAGTAGCATTTTTACAGTATCATTAAAGAGAGCATATCATTATCAGTTGTAGTTTGATGAACAACAAAAAGCATAGATAGAGTCCCAATTGTGAACTGTCACTGAATAATTTGTACATGATCTTACACATTATCACAGAAATCACATTACTCTTTCATTATTACAGGCCTACACATTGTATACATTCAACATTTAGAGCAACTGGACACACATATAAAAGCATTATGTTAACACTATAATTGTTGGAAAATGAAATTGTTAAGAACTGCATCAAGACTTGCGTGCTGGACAGTTATTTTGTAGAGCTTCCTTTTAAAATATGAACAGTGCCTCCTCCTGCACAGATCCATTGTGAGTGAGACAAAACCCAATTTGAAAATGGATTTATTTCTGTTGAAAGTGTTGATCCCAACAGAGCTTGCAGAGTTGAGGACCAGGGATTCGTTTCACCAACTTCATCAAACTCAATTTGACATCTGATATTCAAAACTGGAAAATATAGGTCCCGGTGATGTGACCCCTTCAAAACTTGGCACGAAGACCCCAGGAATTCTTTCTTTCCTCCCCCTTGTCACTAAGATTTTCCTTTTCCATCTTCATTTCCAGCTGAAACTTGGCTGAAGAGAGATGATTGACTTCAATACTTGCAGTTGTCACAGATTTTGACACCTATTGTTCCCGATTTTTTAATTGATTGATCATCGCTCTCAGAATCCACAATCCAGGCCCTGTGCAGACTTAACACTTCAGGCTTGAAATAGTATTAAGCTGCTTACCCCCTAAGTTGATTTCAGTGTTTGTGATGTGCTGTTTGTTTTACCAGTTTTATTTGAGATTTTTGGACACCTCATCAAAGAAACATAGGATGTTTTGGGGTTTATGAATTCTGTTATCTATTTTCCTTTTAGATTGTTGAATTTTCAAGCAAAAAATCATGGAGATATTGGTTATGTAATCTTAAAATACACAATGATTAAGAATTTGAGTCATGTTTGGTTGAATTGTTTCATTTCAAATGTCAAATTCTTCTGCAAGATGGAATTTGAAGAATGATATTTATGTAGTAACTTCACCTCAACCTAGTTGGCACAACGATGACAGAAAATGATAAGATTCTGTCTAGATCCTGAATGTACATGCACAATTTTGAAAGGAACAAAGTCCATCAGATTTTCAAGTATTTGCTCATCAAATAAGAGAAGTTAGTAAGAGTCAAGTCAATACAGTAAATTAAAAATTTGAGACTTGTTATGTACCAAAGGATTTTGCAAGGGCCAGGTATATATTCATGTTGCCTTATGGACCGGAAGTTACCCTGACAGTGACATTTCTAAAGTTTATGAGGACTCATTTTTAAAAGAGATGAAAAGCAAGTACAACTTTCTTTATTTTTGTATTTATTTATTTATTTATCTATTATATATTCATGTTGCCTTATGGACCAGAAGTTACCCTGTACTGACAGTGACATTTCAAAAGTTTATGAGGACTCATTTTTAAAAGAAATATTAAAAAGCAAGCTCAATTTTCTTTAATTTAGGGGGTGGAGGGGACGATAATAAAGTTAAGTGATGTAATAGTAAAATTAGCTCCACAAAATATCAGAATTTAGAATTGAGGTTAAGTGATTGAAACTTTGAGAGTATTTCATTCTCGCTAGAGATCGACACTTCTAAAAATGTACAGTGTACATGTAGACCAAGAGTTTCATCAAATGACTCAAGTTTCCAGTTACAGTATTAAAATGCTCTTGAACCTGTACCTACATGCACTACAAATGCACCTGCATACTTGAAGTTTAGGTAGAAATATATGCATGATTTGCTCTTGTCAAAAGTGACTTTGTTTGCATTTAGGACCAGGCCTTGTTATCTTTTTGTGCAGTGGAGTGTGTACCTTGGACTAGTCAATGGATGACGTAATATGCGTAGGCCTACAAAACTGCATTCTTTTATGTAGTATGCAGTTCCGAAATAGAACCATATAACACCATGCATGTAATGTATATCTATGATTCAGTGTGAATAACAGTGTAACTCCCACTCATTTGATTCCCGCCTTTCCCGGAAATAATCCACAACAAAATTCAATTCTGAAGCAGATAATGTTTGATGTCTCTGTGCTCGTGTAATCTAGACAGGTTTTTGCGAACAATGCTGACTTGTTTGACTGAAGACTAGAAAGAATAAACCATTGTATGTATTCTGATCTAAAAAGATAGGCCTGTTTATCTGGAAAATGAACTAAACTTTGCCAAATAGCAATTTTGCTACCATGGCATGTGTACATGTTTGTATAAAGTGAGCAGATTAAAATTGTACAGAATGTAGGGATCATCACATGATGTTGTTTTGGTGTCCACAATGCCTAAAGCCACACCGATCTTATTACTCCACATTTGCTTGCTTCAGATTTATATGACTTCCTACATGTTTGGCAGTTCTGAAAGTCTGCATGTATACTGTATGGTCAATATGTTTATAACTAAAGCTGGAAATACACTATTTGTATCTTTTACTCCATGCATTCTAATACATTCTCCTCTCTCAAATCTAGCACTCACTCAATATGTAGGCCTACTGCATAACACCTGTGACAATTCAATCCTGTCCTGTGCGACAACCCGGTTTAATTCAGAGCTTCACCTTCATATTATTTCTGAAAACACCCAGAAAACCTCCAAGAGAATACGACATTGAATTTCATATTTATGGATCATGACTTGTATTCCCGCTGCACTTTACGTCACGACAGAGTGGCCATGAAAAAGCCAGCGAGTGGGTGGGGAGGGAGTCCACAAAAGGGGCGGGCCTTGTCACGCTGTTTGCCTGACAAGGTTGACCTCAGGAGCGAAGATGGAATTTGATGGAGTTTTATATTATTTCACCATCATTGTGCTTGACTAATGGGAGGGATCTATCTAGACTGGCTTCTATTTACAGAAGGTTGGCTTTTGCCCAACAAGCTCTCCTAACAATCACCACCGCCGCGACAGTCCAGACGAGTTGCACAGCATATTGAGGTCTGGTCTTTGATGGATTTCCTTCAATCAGTCTTTGGCCGTTGATGAATTTGTTTCTTGATTAGATCGGTGTCTGTAATAATGGCAGTTGTGTTACAGCAGAAGAGTGCTTTCCATGATACTTGTACGTACACTGTGTGGAGTGAGCCATAAAATAGGCATTTTTTTTTGTAACTAGAAGTAGAATGATATGTTCATTTTTTCACATCTACAAATTTATCTCAGATGCCATCTCGTAATTGGGGCATGTAATCAAAGCGTGTCTGTGGTTGTGTTCGAGAAACTTGTTTTCAAGAAACTTCTATTTTTCTTTGTATCGGCTTGACAAGACTGTGAGTTTCGAACCAATAGTCTCCAGACTCAAAAAAGTCATCATTTATGCAGCAATGTTCATTTGAAGCCATTAGGTTACCCTGTAACACCTTTAGCACACTTTATATCTTGGCATGGTACCATGTTGTACTCTTTTCTTTTTTTTCTTCTTGGGGATGCAGAAAATTAACATTACAACTGTACTGATGAATAGCTTTCTAGATTTTGGTGTGCAAATTTTTGTTGATATTGTTAATCTGGTATAATAATCTACTTTTATTTTGTATTATTCAGGGAGGAGACCAAAGAAGAAGACAACCCTAAGAGATGGTAGCTCATCTGAAGATTTAAAGGTAAGAAAATGTTATTGCTATCATTTTTTTGTATAAGTTTATGTCCTACTTTATTTGTCTATACTCTATATCCTATTAAGAAAAAACTGCTGAGATCTGAGTTCTGCATTTGCCTCCCCCCCCCCCCAAAAAAAAAAAAAAAAAACAACAACAATTGTGACTATAGATCGACTCCACCGCCGGCAAGTCTAACCTTGCGCAGAAACAGATTTCAGGGCCTAATCCCACTTTACAGACTGTATGGGAGATGACAGGAATTTTCCAAAGGAAAAGGAAAGAAATTAACTTCTTGACATTTCTCCTGAAAATATATTTTTGTTATCCCAGTAATTGCAAAAAAAAATCTGTTGATAGTTTACCAAAGATTAAGCTTATTTATTGTAAAAGGAAAACAATTTTATAGAGGTATTGACTTGAAACATGAATACATTTTTAAAAATCTTGAAAATTTTACAGATATGGTCCAGTTTGATTGATTAGTAAGTGTATTTCCTAGGGAAAGAAAACCAAGAGCGATGAATGCTCCACAAGGAATGAATCCTAAATTTCCTGCAGCATCAATATTCTAATGGTTTAATACAACTCCCGGAGTAGTAACCCAGTATGCCTACATCATATCTGTATGAGGTAAATTTTGACAACTTATGTGTTCCTCTAGAGATTGTTGTGGTTAAAATAACAAATATCAACACTGGAATGATTTGAACAAAAGGTGTACACAATACATTTGTGGGACCAAAGAAATTATGTAAAGACCTTCTTACATGTTATTTCATTTATTAAATCATTTACCTATTCATCTCTTTCATGATTCTAAGTATAGGGAATTCTTTCGTTCAGGGCCTCTTTCTTTAGTGCGAAAAGAAAACCCCCAAGTGAAGAAATACTTGTACCTTTGATGGCAGTTATGTTAGTGTCTGATTAATCCATGTTAGTAACTGCATTGCTATTCTTGAATTCCATGATAGAGATTACTGTTTGGATAGGACAGTGGCCCTTCTCAACAACACAACTAGGGGTTTCCCCTATACATGTAGATTAATCACGTTTCTTTTCCTGAGTGGGTATTGCATTCCCATGAATATCAATTCCTTCCAATTAAACAAATTTGATCAGCATCGATACTTGCAGTATTGCATCTCTTTTTCATTTTCTTATTGTCCACCTTATGAAGTAAAATAGATCTGCAAAGTCTGTAAAGCTTGCAATCAAAATCTGTCACACCTTAATTTTCAGAGCGTTTCTAGTAATCCAACTGTCACATGAGCTATGCGGAGGATTATATTTCCAATTACTGTCTCAGTAAGCCCATTTACACAGCTCAAACACCATTTTGAAAAATCATCGATTTTGGGGGACTGCCATTTACACTACAGAAAAACCCATAAAACCATTGGTGTTTGCTCACTCCCATTTTGCGGTGAGTAGTGTGCATGTGCGACTTGTCCCTACTCTGCTTGCAATCACATGGAAGGGAAGGAGAGTCACGTGACCTAAAACCGGAATCATTTACCGATGTTTCGAGAGCGGGCATTCACACTGCAAAAATCAGTGGAATTTCTGCTGACATTTAAACAAAAAACACACTCCAATGAGGATTTTTTTTAATTTAGTTTTTTGAGATGACAAAACACTGGGATGTGAGAAAAATGTATGATTTTCTGCTTGCAGTGTAAATGCAGCTTTTCTTTGAATTGACGAGTGGGAAGAAGAATGATACAAACATTGATCATCGAGGTATCCATTTCTTTGACTGCCTTCTGGTTTTTGTTTATCCCATTTCAAATGTATTTTGTAACGAGGGTTCAAGTGAAGTTCATTTGACAGCTCTAGGTGTAGATGGAAATGTGAGAAGATGTTTTTTTTTCTAAAGAGGATGACAATTAAAGAGAAGGTTGAGTTCTGGGAAGAGGTGAAAAATAATTTGAGAGCATTACTCATTCTTATTATGCAAGTGTGGAAGAACATCATTTTAAGACATGTTCCCTGAAAAGCATGGCTCTTCAAATGCCTTCATATTCTAAATATGCATGTAACATCGTAAAAATCGGGGGCCGGCTTTTTACGCCACGTGTTCGTGTAGTCCTATATATATCTTTATGTGCAGTGTTTGTAACTTTACCAAGACTTGGCTAAATTTCTTATCATTTTGATGATTCCAGAACCTTGCAATATACACAAATTCTTATATGCTAGATGATCAACCTTTTCTGGTCGGTTCCACACCGTTTCTTTCACAATTCAATCGCATGACCAGAACTCAACTTCATCTTTAAGTTGCAATGTTTGCTCTTTTTTCATCCCAGTGGAAGTCAGGGCTTTAAAGCATGTCCATGTTTAAAGTGTGTACTGAGTATCAAAAAGGAATTCTTTTCTGCTCCTATATGAAAGATGAAAAAGAAGGAAGGATGGAATGGGAAGGGCAAGGAGGCCATCTTCTGAATGCCTTTTGCAGCATAATCCATCCCTACATTGTTTTAATGATAAAATATAATCTTGCCAAATACCAAATGTTTGACATCTCCTAATCACAACTTACAATGCTAGTCTTGAGGCCCAGACACTATTATGAGTCTCTGCCTTTTAAAAAAAAAAATTAAAGTAAATATATCAAGGACTTGAGCCAAGCCAATTTGTACATTTAAGACAATAGTTTGATATGTATTTTCACTCATATTTTGTTGAGATAGGATTATCTCATTAATCTATGGAACTTTATACATGTAGCATCTGTGCAGTAGTCTGCTAAACTAGACCCAGTCTGAGTGATCAATCAGGACTGGTGCCCCAAAACTATGTCATCCCGTATACATATGTGTCAGGTAGAGATGCTCGTGAGTAGTGATAATAAACTTGAATGACATTCCGTAGTGATGAGTTACCCTTAGGTAATGACAGGACGCCAGTGCCCTCAGATATTAAAAACAAACAAACGGTTGGATGACGTCATATCGGCCTATTTATGTACCAGTATGTCCTTTTCCAAAGTACAGTTTGCTGCAAGAACCTTGGCTTTAAAATTGCCTATGCAAGTTCATAAATATAGTCGTAAAAATAGTCTTGTACTATGAAAATAGTGACTTGTTTAGTTATGTTTAGAACTACATTTACAAGTACATTGTACAGTTCATCATAGGCTACTTTTCTTGTTCAACAAAATTATAAAAATATATACTATAGATACTTTCCTCTCTTCTTCAACTGCATTTATTTTATTTCCATACAAATTTCCAACGTATTTAAAATATTCATTTCATTTTATGAGACAGACTCGTATTTGATTCTGTTGAACATCTATAAAGGCACAGCTTTCTGCTTCACCAAATGATATTTTTCTTGTTACTTATTTTCACAAGTTTTAAATATGTTTGGAAATTGTCATTTTAGGAGACCAATTCAAAACTGAATTGAACATCTCTAGGCAAGAACTTCATTCGCTATTGCTGTGTCAGTAAATTATTGTCTGAAATTAATATTCATAGTAAATCATAGACCTATACATGTACATGTGTGTCAAACATGAATCAAATGATGGATGGCTTGTAACGAACAGTCCAACACCTAAATAAGCTGAGTGGCTTGAGCCCTAGCTTCACTCAGCCAGGGATGAATGGCTTTATCGCATTGTACGACCGGGATTATTCAGTGTTGTGGGGGTGAATGCGCTACATGGGATCAGTAGTGAGAGCTGAATAGGGTAACTATTTCCATAACTACATGGACTTTTGGAAGCTTATTCAATGGGTAAAGGATTTGTACAGTAGTGCGTCATACCCTGCAGTTATTAAAGCAGGAAGTACTACATGTATAATTTGGTACTCTGTTTGCAGGGATAGTTTGACAGCAAGCGATACATAAGGTTTGCAACTGGGAATAAATGAATAAGTTGCTTCCTAAATACATCACATTTAGAAATGCCTGGTGACTCGTTCTGTGGCCACTAAGCTAACAGGATTTGATAAATTTTCAATTGCCAGATCTTTGTTTCATTATCAATTCGAACTTACCATATCTGCAACAGGTATAAACTCACAATGCACCCTAACAGTATATTTGTAAAGCGCTAGAGACATTTGTATTAAGCTCTATATAAAAATTAAATATTAATATTATTATTATTAATTAGATAATTTTTAGTCAAAAGTTGTTCACAAATCCAATTATCAGATGAGATTGGCCTCCTTGGCATATGGGAAAGAAAAGAAAGAAAAAAAAAATCATTTTTAATTTTAGCATGAGACAGAGAGGCTGTATTTCTAAGAATGTTTGCACATTTATCCGCTTTTGAATTAAACATTCAAAAATGTATTTCTCTACTGAATGTGATTACCCGGTACAGAGGTCACATCCATGTCATCTGAAGTGCAAATGAACTTGAACAATGAACCTTTGAAGTGTGGTTCCAAAAGAGAAACCAAGCTCAAAAAGACCCTTATTGTCAATCAAGCAATCAATGACAAATCAAACAAACATCTTTCTAAGCTCTGATCTTGAGATGGAGATCTATAATTCATTCAGGCATAGTACAAAGGAGTTGTTATTACAACTCCTTAGTATTACAATGCAACTTTTTTTTTCCATTATTTTTTCTCTCTACATCTTGTAGAGGATCATGAGGCCTAGCCTGTAAATTAATGAGGGTACATTTAATCAGGCTTGCTTGTCCTTTATTTGGTATAACTATAAAACATATCTATTCTAAGCTGATTGAATTTCTATGAACTGGTAGCTCATGAAGGACAGGTGTGTAATAGCCGCTTCCAGACAGAGGCCACCATTGACTTTCATTTTCAGAGTGAAAACCACAGCGGCTATTCAGCATCAAATGCCCAAAGAATAGGTCCAATTTCACCTGTTCTTGACGGTTGGTCTGTCTGTGGAAAGCGAAGGAGTAGGCCAGTCCACTCGCGATTTGAGGCCAGCCTTTGTCGCTACAATGGATTACTCATGCTCCTTTGTGCATTTGAGTGGGGGATAAAGGCGCTCTTGTATTCTGGAGA